ACAGCCGCGGCTCGTTCGGGAGCACGCGCATGCCAGGGGGCGACGACGACGGCTCCGGCACGACCGCGCTCCTTGGCATTGCACGCTCCATTGCACGCAAGGGAGTAACATTCCGGAAGAACGTCCAGCTGTGCGCGTTCTCTGGCGAAGAACAGGGCCTGCTTGGTTCCCGGGCATATGCGCGTGAGTTCAAGCTTACCTGCTCGTCGACTCCTGCGTACAGGAAGGCTATATCTTTACTCACCGCGTTGTTCCGGGGATGTAGGTGAGATGCGCGAGAACGGCGCAGATCTGACACTTATGTTGCAAGCGGACATGCTCGCGTACCATGTGCCTGGGGAGCCCCCACAGCTGGGCATGCCCGATCGGTATGCCGTCTCATCCTTTCTGAATGGCGTCCTGATCATTGACGGCCTGTTAGTGTTGGCACGCCCGAGGTGACGCAACTCGTGGCGAACCTGTCTGCTATTTACAGCCCCGAATTGGTCTTTGGTCTAACATCTGTGCGTTCTCGCTGGTGTCCTCATGCAAGGCGGACCATAAGCTAAATCAGACCCCGTACTTTGTTTAGGCGTGCTGCAGTGACCACCAAGTATGATGCTTCCTATCATGAGAATTATCATTTGTCTCATAGCTATATGTAGAGCTTCCACGAACAGGGATATCCCGCTTCCCAACTCTTTGAACGTGCCGGACCGATCGCGGACCCGATGTACCATACCAGTGGTGAGTTAACATTTCTACCCGGTACTCAGACATCGTTACGGATATTGGCTTCTCAGGGGATTTTTCGGACCGAGTAGGATTCGACTTTGAGCAGCTCAGGTCCATTGCGAAGATCCAGGTACGTTATGCTGTCACGATGAATTGGTGCTATGGCTAACGGCACGGATAGTTTGCACTGTTGTTGCATGCGGCTGGATTTCACCTCCCGGAGTAAGTAGATACTGTAAGGCTCGCCATAGCCTCTTGACTACGACCCTACCAAGGATGAAATCTATTCTCAACACTCGTGCGCTTGTCCTCTGAGATGACGGTTCCGTTACAGTGAAGGAATACAGCGTCTAACTTGAGATATCAACACCTCCGATACGTCTGGGGACGAGAGTAGTGCAATCGGATTCTAATGAAAGTCAGCTCATACGGTTATTCTAACTTCGGTCGTTACACTAGCGATCCCACTCTGCGCATCACCAATACATATATATATTTAGATTTCTTGTCATCCTCTTAGTCCTCCCGCCCTTCACACGTTTATAGTGCCCCTCCCAATAGGCTCTTCGGCAGGAATAGCACCAGTGCGTACCTATACACAACGATGTCAGCACCCAATCGGCCCTTGGTCTTATTCTAAGCCACGGCAACACAAGCTGTATGACGCACTTTCCATTATACCGCCACTTTTCGCCACTGCGATTGAGCCGCTCTTCGGTCTCCTGATCGACGCTGACGACTACGTCTGCCTTGTTTGTGCGCAGGCTGAGCAGCGGGAACGCGCCTGCAAGCGGGCCTGTGGCGACATTCGCAACGACCGGGGGTCAGGAGGGAGGGAAGTCAGATGCCAAAAAAATTAGTACCCACCAACAGCAGTCTCGAAAGGCGTCGATGCAGGCCATTTGACGTCCCCTGTGAGCCTGGCAGCACAGCGAGATGTCAGTGTATCCCGGAAGGTGAAATTCGCGGAAGGACATACTTGCGGAAGCTGGGCGTGAGGTATGGTGGGATTAGTCCAGGGCATGAATGTGGCAAAGACTCACTTCAGGTCGCCCTACAGACATAACCGGCTCGGTCAAGACAATGCGATACGGCTCTGAGTCCAGGCCACACACCGCACCTTGAAAATCACGAGTCCGCTCTCCCGCAGCCCGGCGAAGACCTCCGGGCCCTGCTCGCGCATGTTCCAGTACGGCCAGGGCGTCGTCCAGAAGTTCGCCTGCGCGGCGCATTAACCCTCACACGCTTTCGTCCGCAGCGCGCGACGCACCTTCACGTTGTCCGCGCCCAGCGGCGTGTCCCGCGGCACCGAGAGCTCGAAGACGCCGGTCTCGATGTACTTCTCCCAGCGTGAGACCATCGCCCTCAGGTGCGCGCGCGAGTCGGACGTGCCAGGTGCGGGTGCAGCGTCAACTGGGTCGTCCGGAAAGAAGGCGGGCGAGAGAAGGGAGGAGATCGCCGCGAGAAAGTCGGGCGGGGTGACGTCGGAGACGAACCAGGGGACCAGCTTTGGGCTGGATATAGGATGTGAGGAGGAAGGGAAGGAGGAAGGGAAGGGACTTACTGGAAAATGACTTTGGAGACGTAGGGCGTGTATGTCACGAGGAAATCGGCGAATACGAAATCTGTGAAAAGCTGCGTGCAAACACGAGTATCCACATGTTGTGTTATTTATATCGTGATAGAGATAAGTGCGACCTTACCTCGAATCCGGCTGTGGGGCGTCACAATATAGCTAGCTGTCTTTGACCCAAGCAGACCTCTCACCGTTGTCCAGGACGAAGTCTATCCGCGAATCCTTAAGACTCGTTAGATGAGCCCACACGCTATCTTGGTCGTCGGTGAGGATGAACTCTTTCCGGGCGGCCTGAGCGTCGCGGCCAACTGACTGGAGGTGTTTAATGTCTTCGTGCGATAGATGTGTGAGCATCGAGAGATCCTGAATTTGGTAGTCAGTCAAATTTTCCACAACGTCCAGAGAGGCGCACTGTCGCGTTGCCCCTTTGGGTGATGAAAGCATGAGTGCCGAGCTCGGTTCAGTGACAGTCAACGCGTACCAAAGACACATCTGGATCATCTCCTTGAAGATGACATTCAGGTTCTTTGGATCGGAAGCTAGCGTCGCTTTGTCGCGCTCTAGTTCATGCATCGTTGTTGCGAGCTCTATTTGAACGAGGCCATGGCGTGTATCGTCCCGCCCCGTCGTTAATACCCAATGAGGGAAGCACACAGCGGAAGAGACGCACGGAAGATTGCCTGCGAGCTCTTCTGGAACGTGTCCAACTTCTGCTCAAAGAATGGATCGTGCGTCCTCCAATGCGTCGACTGCACAAAGTACGAGCGCAGCAAGCGGTATCTATATGCAACTTCAGCCATAGTGCAAGTTGTGCAGAGGAGGACTGACAGGTAGCATCTGAGGGGAAGACGTCAAGCTGCGATATGTAAAGAGTAGTGATTTTGCGTACTCGGCAAAGAGCCACGGCGCCGTGAACCAGGATCCCTTGCCCTGCTCCGCGAGCCGTGCCAATTCTGTGTTATATATCTCTACAAGCCCCTCGCCGTCTGCCGGTATGTCCCTTGGTTTCAGTGAGCCCATGGATGCCATGGCACGGTGCATGGGCGAGAAACCCACTCACTCGAGCGGGCGATCGCGCGCCATGTCGTACTTGAGCTTGCTGATACGCTCGATAGTGCTCTTTCCCTCAGCAATCTTTGCTTTTATCGTGTCCACATCCTCCGTCTCGCATCCGCCGCTCTCGATCGAGACGTCGAGGACGTGGTTGGCACGATAGAGGTTGTCGATGATCCCGGTGAGGATTATGGGCCACCGTTTGAGGACGGTCTCGTAACTGTCCGTCGGCCGTTACCACACTGGACGCATAGTATGACATGAAGCACCTACGCGAAGCTGCGACAGTAGGTCAAATGTCCGCAAAGAATGGAGGCAGGATGGCAGTGCGTACCTGGCCTTGTCGGTGAAGTCGTACGGGGGGTAGGGAGCCTCATACATATCTGTCGGATTGACTGTGGGTAATCTCTGTCTCTATTTTACCAGAAAGATTGAATGTTGTCCCGTAAGCGACGCCGGGCTCGGATTCGACCACTCGGACGGAAAGAGCAGGACGCGAACAGAACGATCGCGATAGACGGAGTCGGGCAGGCATCGGACTTTCCTTTCTTGGGATGAGGCAAATACCAACACATAGCGGCACCACCCAGATATCGATCTGAGCATGGGCATCAGGGGCTGTTTGGGCTTTACCTCGCACCATAACCTCGAGCCATTCCGATTCGCACTTTTTGGAGCTGTAGTGCGATCGTTTCACTTTATTTATCAAAAGCGAGGTCGATATGGTTCATCGTGCTTTCGATTGCGATGATGTCCTAAGAGAGATATTCCAACATTTACGCATAAATACGGACGAGGAGTGGAATACCACCCACCGATTTGAGCGGGTGCGTCTCCGAAATGCACTCGCATTTGCAGCACGCGTCAACAAGGCTTTCTCATCACATGCTCTCGACGCCCTCTGGTGGTGTATTCCTTCAGAGCGTGTCGCTCTCCTTGTCTTGCCCTCCCTCAAGCTTTCCAGGGGCTTTTGTGGGATAGATTATGAATGAACACACGTGCGTGTCTCAGTATTCTTTGATACCGACAGTTGAAACGCAATCAACAATATATAGATGGCGAGATCCGCCCTTACGAGCTGGATAGATTCCGCCAGTATGCAATCCGGGTACGCGAAGTGAAGACATTCGGAGATAGATATCCTTGCGACAAAGTCTTCATCGTATCCGTCACCAACCCCGTTGCATAATGTCTTGGCGGACCATTCTTCCCAAACCTCGGTCACCTGAGCTGGGACGATGATTCATCGAACTGGTCCCTAGGAGGTGTTGACCTGGTCTTATCGGCGACGGTCAGCCCACGCCTCCGCTATCTCTCCCTGTGTCTTCCCAGAATAGTGTACCGGTGTAGTCTTATTCGACAGGAGGTTCTGAGTTCTATACCTGCGCTCGCTGCGACAGCACCGCACATTCGCCACATTCGTCTATCCATGGGCAGGAATGCGGACAAGCAGTGTTATGCTTGGGACCCAGACTCTGCGGCTTGGGTCAGCAATTTTCGGTGGCTAAACATCGTCGAGGTCAACACGAACTCCGCCAATGATGTGTTCCTCGACGCGCTCTTGGAGCTTCCTCATCTGACGGATCTCGCACTCTTAATCTATAGAAGTGGTGATATCACATTGCAGGATGTCGATAGGTGTTTCCATGCGCTGCGTAAGCTGAGAATTAGTGTGAAGTGCGGTCAGGAGTATCGCATCCTCAAGGCATACAAGTGGCCTAAACTCGAACATGCGGAAGTGGTTGTCTCTCGCGACGTTCCCTCTGACCTGGACTGGATGCTGATGTTGCTTGAAGATGTTGTCTCAAGTTTCCACGACTCGCCGTTACGCGAACTAAGGATCGGCCAAGATTACCCTTGGGATTTCACTTGCGTGGCGCGTTACATGTCTCCCCTCCGCTCCCTGCGTCATCTGCGGACTCTTCAAATAGATATCTCATTGAAGTTCCTGGGTTTTCGGATGCGCGAACTGGCTCTCAGCTGGCCAGAACTGGAAGAGTATGCGGTGCGGGGAACACGCTCATGCCATGAATCGATGAAGATCCCGCTCGTTCTGGTCTTGGCGTGCCCATGCACGGCAGACATCAAGTGGATGGATAAGCCGCAGGCTCGCAAATTCAACCCGCATGGGCTCTCGCTCGAAAAGATCCGTTCGTATACAATCGAGCCCGGTACGTCCTCTTCCCGGGCGACGGTCGTTCTGGCGCCCATTCTTGAGGCGCTTTCCCGAAGCCGGAGCTGGAGGAGATGCTGGAAGAACAGCTGTCTATGACTGGCCCGTCGTGCTGCAGGACCCAAGTATGGTTGGGGCTGCTCGAGAAGGTGGATCGTGCTCTTCGGAAGAAAGTCTATTGCAGTCTGGCGCAGATGGAAATCGAGGCAACTTGACAATGACGCGTGATATCGTTGACGGGGGAAACGTTCGCCGTCTCACATGTGACTTACCGTATGTCCAGCATGCTGTAGAGGCTCTGCGCATGATCCCTTCTTACCAGGACGGCAGAAGGGTCTGATATCGATCATATATGATTTATCCACTCTGGAATCAATGCTCTGGATGGATCGACAAATCTAAGGACACAATCGGCATATTTTTCACAAAAATAGTATGATGATGAACCAGAGGGGAATAAAGGGGAGCAGAGAGATGAGAAACAACCACCTGGGTCACAGTCTCGGGCTTGCCTGCTCTCGCTTCGATCACCAACAAATATTTGTTATCAAATTGATCTCCCGAGTTGCGCCGTTTCCTTTTCCCATCTGCTTCTCCTAGCTCCATGCTCCTGGCTGATCAGCTACTGTCAATCCAACTTCTGAACAGGAGCCAAGCCACGACCCAAATCCTTTTGCTCGCGCACTGCTAGTAGGTCCGAGCTGAAGCGTTCTCGCGATCTCGACGATGACTCCGAATCCGCTTGTTCTGACAAGCCATGTATCTGGCCCACTGGCAGATGAAACATGTATCGAGTTTGCAGACACTTCAGACGCGGCCAGGCATTATCCTGCCTCAAGGCTGCACTCTCAAAGCGTAGGGGAGGCTCCGGAACGGACCATTTGCGTATAGAATGCATTGCATCTGTTCGAAGCAGTCGAGTGAGTGATTCGGAGCACAACGAGTCTCAGGCTGTGATGTCACGAAAAGAACTTGGACGAAACCTTTCTCATGCAGCTGATACGTACCGTAGCGTATCTGCAATACCGTTGTAGAGTGCTAGGAGGAACACTTCTCCAGCAGGTACATTTCTAGGGTGCTTCTCCGAGTCTGTCCATTGACGTGCAATTGCCAAGGCTTGGGTGGAGCGATCCGATTGGCTGTCGTGCAGCGGACACTAAAGGTGGACTACCCGTTTCGGGTGTGTGGTACAACAACGCATGTTCAGGTCCACACTTTCATGTCTATGCATACACCTGTCATGGAAGGAAGCAAGGGCCTACAAGACGCGCGGCTGCGGTGCGTGCTGTGTCTCATTCTTGAATTTGGTCAACTTGGAGCTAACACATCTGCAGGGAGCATTTGACGAAAGCAACTATCCAATCACAGAGATCAGCAGAGGCTCAAGCTTGTACAAGCTTGTGAGCTGCAGGCTGTATTTGGACTCTATCCTGAACACATCGGACCCCGGAGTTCTGGTCAACGTGCAACAACATTGATGAACCTTCGCATTGTTGCAGGCGCGCGTGAGAAAAGCATAAGAGTCAGTACTGTTCCCTGCGTGAAATCTAATCCCCCTGGATCGCGACACAATGTCTTCTTCTGGTCCAAATTTTGCCTCTCTATTACCGGCTTTATTTAGAGAGAACGGTGCTGACATTGACCTAGAGGCACAGGCCAGCTTGATAGATAAATCTGTGGAATCCTCGGCGGGCAATTCGACGAATGTTCAGTCGAGTTTAGAGACGAGACTGCCTCGTTGTGAATCTGTGTCCTCCCTTACTATCCCAATCGAGATGCAGTCTGGAATTCGACCTGGAGACAAAGAGGCAGATATGGACAACAAGCCTTCGGTGAGCATTCTAGGCCTCGAAGTTGCAATAGTCTTATATGTCTTTACGCAGATGCCGAAAGAGGCTTTGCCTATGAACATGGTCGAAGAAGGCTTTGAAGTCCAGGGGCAGACAGCTTCGGTCAAGAGCGTCCTGGTAAGCGTCAGAATCCTCTGAGCATGATTAACTGACTCAAAGTATACGCTGCAGGAGACCATTCCTGATGGCGACGACGATGGAGGACATGAGCCTAATGCGGAGGTGAGTACTCGGGGAGCCTATCAACAATTTGGGACGCTGATATATTGTGCGTCGTCCCACTTTGGTATCAATCTTTTCCCATTTATACACAGTTAGCGTCAGAGCAGCAACAATTACCGTGGAAGCAAGAACCTGAAACAATTATCAAGGATGAAATGCAAGGGGTGTGGTCAGACTGTGCCAACAAATTATGGGGGTACCAGGACGAGATCATCAACAGGTGGAAGGACGAATTGAACAACTTGTTAATATTTGTGAGTGTGTTGTTTTCTTGTCCGTATGCGCTAGATCTGACGGGCCATTTACTGGGATCTGATCAATAGGCCGGTTTGTTCTCGGCTGTGCTCACGGCATTCGTGATCGAATACTATCCAACCCTACAGCCATCGACGACTCCCGACACCACTACACAACTTCTGATGATCATGTCTGCGCAGCTGGAGGTTCTTACTACCGGTGCTCGCCATGACAACTCATCTCTTCTATCCGTGTCTGCGCTTGCCAGTTCGTCCTCAGCATCGAAACCTTCGTCCCAAGTTGTGGCCGTCAACGGTCTATGGTTCGCTGCGCTCGTCTTCAGCCTTGGCGCAGCTTCCCTTGCCATGTCCGTCAATCAGTGGCTGAACCACCACCGAACGCGACCATTAAGCATGTCTCGAGAAAGTGCCGAGATTTGGTACTTGCGCCATCGAAGCCTTGACCGATGGAAGGTTCCGCTCATCATCAGTGTTCTCCCTGTCCTCCTGCAAGTCTCGCTGGCTCTATTCCTCGTCGGATTGGTCGTACTGTTATGGCCATTGAATACTTCCATATCTGCTGTTGTGTGTGTGCTGGTTTCCATGCTGTTACTGGGCAACATTGGTTCTGCACTCATTCCTGCTATTGTCCCTGAGTGTGCCCACAAGTCCCCGCAGGCATGGTGGTGGCTCAAGCTGCTATGTGGTCCTCAGAAATTGGTTTGTTCCGCTGGTCACAAGTTGACGTATCGCCTTCTCGTTGGCGGGTGGCCCGGTACGAACGCCGATTGCTGCTCTCTACCCCTTCTCACACATTCCTAACATCTTTTCCGGGAACAGATGGGTCGCAGAAGATCTCCTTTGGGCAGTGGAGGGCCTACCTTAGACAGCGGAAAGCTCCGCTCAAGCAGTTGGTGGACTTTCTCAAGCAGTGCAAGACCTCTTTTGGACCAGCGGAGGACTGTCCGTCATGTCTGTAGGTTCCTTACTTATCGCTTTTGTAATTATCTGATGCGTTGCTGGTATTGTCTAAGATAATGTCACTATAACCTGGCTGCTTGATATCTTCAGGGGTCGAAGTATAGTCGCCCAGGATCTCTGGAACGCTGGGGATTGGAGAGCATGTGAAGTGGTGTCGTTAAAGCGGAGGTCAAGCTCTTTGACACTTCAGGGCCAAGTGCTTGCAGAAGCATACACAATGATCTCGGATAGGTCTTTCATCATTCCCGTGTCCATGCTTTGTTTCGACACTCGGGACGGCGGAACTGTCCTCAACTCCTTAACTATACTTTCGAAGCGTATGCAATTTGAAGTTTCTCTAGGTCATATATGGGGTGAATACTATGCTACACGGGCTAGTGAGGAAGAAAAGCGCCGCGTCATTGCAATGCTGGATCGTCTCATCGACATGCTGGTTATGATACCCGGCCACGGTCTTGGTGCTGAGCAGCAGTGGAAAGCGGTCAATGACAACATAAACGACCTTATTATCTCTATGAATGATTGGCGGATTGCCCAAGATCGACTTCGAAGGTGGTGGCACAGCATGCAGGCAAGCACATGGAATAAAGCTACGCCCTCTGCATTTACCTATGTGTCGAGGACTGGCTTCGCTTTCGAGACTGAGCTTGATAGTACTGGTCAGAACATCTATAATACTTGCACTCACAACCTCACTCACTCACTGTGATGCCCTCCAGATCTGGAATTTTTACTATCGGCATTTTTGTCTTTCCAGAAAGGAGACTTCGACAGATATGGCCTCCTCCGTTACTCGCAGCGGTTCCTCAACCTCGCGAGGAGGCGCAAATGGCTTCACCTGGGCTCTATCCGTGATGACCTGCGAAGGCTTGTGGCGATTGTCTATGACGACCTGAATACGGCTGTTTTACTGTCGCAAACCTCAAGCACCAACATATTAATTATCTCGGAGGAGTACCGCTTCGCTGAATTTACAGCTGAATGTACACATCATTTCAAGGAGAAATCTGGAATATTCGATGTCACTGGCGACATGCTCGCATTCTTCGTAGATTTGGCGTGCACCTGTAACATATTTTATTGGGATTATTATATGAAGGAGGTGGGCAAGATGCGAGAGCATGTCGACCTCCCCAAGGGTACGTGATCTGCTATTCGCATACATTGCACAACTCATCCACTGAATATGCGAGTGTAGAGACTCTCCATGATATAGACACCTTGCTATCCTCGTCACCGGACCAGAAATCTGCCATCAAGGAGAGAGCCCGTGCCAGGCTCCGTGCCTCATGCGTTCCTCCGGCTGACATTATATACGTCGAAAACGGTGAAGCTTCCAATTCTTGATTCACAAACGATATTAGGATACGATACAATTCGATACATACATGGTTTGTGTTGTTTGTTTCATGGCAACCTCCTTGATGCAATTATTGAATTCACCCTACCTCTATGAGAACTAGCTAGAGAACATTCATACTCTGTTGTTGTATTGTATCTACGAGCGCCCGCAGAGTCTCAGACGTGGAAGGACGATATGTGCTCAATGCCAATGGCGTACTTGGTGTCAAATATGCTGGATTGTGGAGACGACATCGTGACGACATACTCGACGGATGGCGCGCTCGTGGTCAAACGCGCCGTGTCGTTCGGAATAGCTGCGGACGCCGTTAGATAACCATGAGGAGTGTTTGAAGTACCTCATCACAGGGCAGGAGACATGGCAGAGGGACGAGACATGGCGTGCTTATGGTCAACAGCAGCCGCAGTCACTACTGCTCTGCGGTCCGATGAGCTCACATTGGCACGGCGTGCCTCTTTTTCGAGGCAGATAACTTTCTAAGCTGAGGAACAGCGCAAGTTTTTGTTAATTTCGTGCTTCGCCAAGCCAGACCGCCGTGTCGAACACCGTAGCTGCGTGGAGGCCTTTCTTGGTGCCAAAACGCAAAACAGACAAGCGAAGACACGTACAGGGCACACCAGCGTGCGCACGAAGTTCGTGAATGGGCGCGCGCTCTGAGAGAATGCGTCTTGCAGGTCCGAAATCCGGTGACCGTGATCATGCTGCGGGCGAGGTTGCGCGTGAGATTCCCCACATCGTGGTCCACACCCGATGTACGTATGGGGACAGTGACGCCAGTCTTCCATGAGCTGGGTCGCTATTGCAAGCAGTGGAAATCGCATGCATTTGCTGTATTTCCCATATAGCCTTGGACAGTGTCAGTCATCGGAGGACAATACTATCATTGCACCAGTAACGCAATCACAACAGTAGTGCAATTACTGAACTTACAGCTGCTCCTCCCCCTCTAAAAATCCCAATAAATCATGTATGATACAAATTACAATCATTATCACTATTGTGTGATTTTCATATGAATGAACAATATGAGAGCAACTTGAATGCCTTGCAAGTGTGTTTTGAGGACTACATCTTGACCAAGAGTGGCCTTGGGTGAGTGATCACCATGTCTGACTGACATAGTAACTCACTATGGCTATGTAAACAACATACACACCTCTATTCTAATTTCTCCAGAATAATCTGCATAGTGAACCCCTCCTGAATCCTGTGTGGAATGGTAGCAACTCAATTCTGTGCTATTGAGCCACAATTGGTGTCATGAATCTTGACTTGACTCAGCTGATGGTAGTGGTGACATACTTTGCATAACTTCACAGTCCAGCCACTGAATGCTGGGCAGACAAAGAAAATGGCATGTGTGGCATTGTGACAGACAACATGACATGCCTCAGAGAAAAGTTGCACTACTGTTGTGATTTTGTTTTGCTCTCAGTATTGCTCAATTCTTGACATACTGAGCCTATGAAATTCATGTATGTTCTTTCAAACATTCTGCATCAACTGGTGAAAACTCCAAGACGTTCCAGTAAAATGTGAGCTATAGGGAGCCCAGATACTGAAAAAGTTGCATTACTGGTGCAATGATAGTAAAGGAGGGACTGTGGCAGATGGCCGGGCCTGTCATGGTGTGGTATAATGTAGCCCATCTGCGGCAGACCGTGAGTGAATGCTATCCGATCGCTGCGTGCCACCGGACAAACGTCAATAGGGAAGTTCAAAGTTGACGCAGCTGGGCTCGCAGAAAGTTCTGCGGCACAGATGCGGATTTAGGCGCTGAAGAAAATGTGAGCCCAGATGAAAAAATG